AACGTCTTGACTGATCTTCATTCCTAAGTGTAGCTAATTTCTATCATCCGAGTGCGAAAGTTATTATAAAAATAGCGAGAGTTGTTTGATTGAGCTTGAAATGATAATCCCTCCCGTTAACGTTTTTGCAGACAAAAATAATTGTGCCGGACTTGACGCTCAATGTTCGGCAGATTTGCCCATCTCCGATTCTGGTAAATTCTTAATATTTATTATTCCATTCTTCAATTCAATGTTTTCCCCATTGCTCACACGCAAAATAAGTTAAACATATTTGAAGAACAACAAAATGTAGTTGATGTTTGTGTACTGCGACGCACCTAGTACTAGAGTCTTTAGAAGAAGAGTTTGAGGTGCAGATTTTCAATAAAGAAATGAACGGTAAAAAAAAGCCACCTTTTTTAGCATGATAAATTCCGCATTGTTTCTGTTTTCTGTTCTGTTTTTTCACTTTGTAAACTAATCATTTCACTGATGATGTCAGTAGATAACTGACGAAACGTCTGGATAAATATCATAGTATCATTTTACCATGCTAAAAACGATGTCCTTAGAAGAATCTTACCTGGAGTTCTCTCCAGAAGAAAATTTTTTTTGTATGTATAAAAATATTATATTGGCTGGCCCTTGAGAACTTCCTGGGTGTACATAATGACGCGAAGTTACAAGCTCCCTTTTACGATGGAACTAATTACAGAGGAAAAAAGGGACACTGTCAAAACACACACTACATGACTCTTAAATGAACATTTACATAAAAGTAAATATAGAAAGAAAAAATAGTTGTGAGTAGACGAAACACAGCATTGAGCTAGAATCGTCATTAAAAGTAGATTGCATCTAAAAGCTCTTCATGGTACCACTAACACATGAATAAAACGAAGATCCAAATTATTTTAAAAAAAAACATTTAAACACATTTTTCAGACATTCACAAACAGCTTGATCATATAACTTTGCTACCGAAGTGAAATTTCGTCACATCATTTTTTCTACCGTTCTTCTCTCTCTATACATTTTGAATGAAGATGCGCCTAGTTCTCTCGGTATGCTGTATGTTTCTACAAATTTGAAAATTCTAATGTAGGGAAACATTTCGAAATGTCCAGCACAGTTTCGTATACAAATCAAAGCGTTGGAGAGCGATAAACGTATATTCATTCGAAGTATATAGAAAGAGTACAAAATAGAAAAAATGATGTGACGAAACTTCCCTTTGGTAGCAAAGCTACGTGGCAAAACTGTTAGGGAAGAACACAGTAATAAAAAAGAAAAAAAATTATATCAGAAAATGGAATATCATTATTTTTAAAAAACAACAGAAAAGTGTGTTCAAACCATTGTTACAAAAAAATCAGATAAATATTCAGAAGAATAAAGATTGATATCCAGGGTTTTATAAGGTAAAATTGTGCAACAAAATATTGAATTAGTCGACCGTCAAGAAGTGACTAAAAAATATTTAAAAAACGAAAATTGGAAGAATGATTAAGAGCATGAAGTAGATAACATTGAAATTCTCTATGACTTACTTTAATAGCTTAGTCGCCCGTCAGTGTCTGAGATGAAGATGAAGATGTGGACGACGTTGATGTGGTTGAAACTTGTGACTGGAGATTATTATTCGAACTGATTACATTTGATGAAGGTGTATCGGAACTGGACAGAGTGGCTAAGAGCATATTTGATGCACTAACAGAACAGACAGAAGATAATGGTAGAGATGGTGAAACGGGTTGTGGTGCTGATGGCTGATGATGATTATGATGAGATAAATGTCTGTTTGAAGTAGCAGCTGTTGTAACTGGTACTCTATCTGGATTGTTAAAATTTAAAAAATTAAATTGAAGGATTGTATCATCATGTGAACTACTAACAATTTGAAATTCATCAAATTGTAAACGAAATACTCGACCAGTATGTTCTGTTAACGTTCGAATACATAGTGATTGTGCTGGTGATCGAGGATCGAGTGCTAGTTGTAAATCCCATACTTTTATTTTACCATCATACGCTCCGCTAACAATACGTTTCGAATCAAATCGGATACATCGAACTAACTCATCGTGACCTTCTAATACTCGCAAACAAGCGCCACAATCAATATCCCATATACGACTAAACAAAAAAAAATCAGTTAGTTAAAAAATTAACAATGAAGGCTAAAGATACTCCATACATTGTATTATCTGAGCTGCCACTGACAACAATCTTATCACGGTATTGAAGACAGGCGATACCACGTTTATGTCCCAATAGTGTTCGTACAAATTCACACGTTGTTGTACACCACACTTTGATTGTTCGATCACCACTAGCACTTACTAAAAAAACAATGATGAAAATACACAAAGTCTAGAACAGTTAACTGTAATACACATCAGCTTGATTATAAAAAACCGTTCTAGAAAAGCCAAAAATGTTAATGCTTGTTTTACCTATATATTTATCATCAAAATCGACAACATTAACAGCTGCTCGATGACCAACAAGTACTCGACGTATTGTTATATCAGTTGGTGAATTCATTTCCCATACAGCTATAGAACGATCCTTTGAACATGTTACCATTATTCCGTCCATAAAACGTAAATGTAATACGGCTTCACAATGATGTAATAATGTATTCAATAATTCACCAGTTTTAACATTCCATACACGAATAGTTGAATCACTTGAACCTGTTATTATCACTTTTTCATCATATTGTAAACATAAAACACTACCTATAAATTATAAAAAGAGAAAAAAAATCTAATTATTAAAACAAGTAATTCTAATCAACTCACCATTGTGGCCAGTTAAAACTTTTGTACACTCTAATGTTTTCCGATCCCATATTTTTATTGTATTATCTCGTAATCCACTAACTATTTTATCATCATCATATTGTAAACAATAGACACCTTTACTATTTTGTGAACGACATTGAATTTTTTGTAAAGTAAAATTTCCCGTACGCCAATTTGTTTCAATTCTTTCGATATCTTTACATATTTGTGGATATAATTGACGATAATATTCATGTTTTTTTTGTGTTTCACCATTTTGTAACATTTGGCGAAATAGATAACGATTCCAGCCACGTTTCTCCGATAAACAATGCCACAATGTATCATTCATCACTTTTTGTTCAACTAATTTTTTCCATAACATACCTAAAACATAAAATAAAAGTTAGAATAAATTAATTCATATAGTCAATTTAAAAATATGTACCTTGCGAAACGACATGATACCAATCTCGACAGACAAGTTCCGTAGCCGTTAACGATTTATCATCTAAATAACCAAGAATCTTTTCCGCAATATGTTCTAATCCTTTTGCTGATAATTGTCCAATAAAATCACGTTGTAACATAGGAAATAAAAATTGATTAATTTTTCCTAATTGATAATGATGCATACGTTTTAATAAATCTTCGACAATATTCAATTGTTCATTATCTGTCCATTGTTCGAATTTTTCAAGAAAATTTGTACTATGCTGTTCGTAATTGGGTGTTGATTTTTTATTAACTGGTATCTCATTTAATGTCATTTCTATTAGTTCATTGCAATCGGATGATGATATTGTTACATCCATAGATACAAGTGATCAAAATATTCGTTGAGATCTAAAAGATATTACATCAAGGTTTGTAGAGTAGTTAGTCTTTACTCAGGTATACTTAACAGCCATTAGGCAGAAAGTATTTGGTTGAGACTTTTATCGTTAATGAAAACAACACATCTACAAATATGGTGAAGTGACATATAACCCTAGTGAAGTAATCTTTTTATATTAAAGTTATAAATTCCAGTAAAGTAACAAGCGTGGTATGCAGTGATACTCAGTCTCAGTAAATATATTTTGACTTTTTACAGAAAAAAACTAGTCATACGGTACAAACGCTATTAGTACTCTGTAATTGCACATGCAAAAGCCTCGTACATATTTTTTAGCTAAAGATAGTATTTGACCTCGACTGCTTTTTCTATGAATATGAGCGTTTCGTCTACTTTCAAGACCGAAATGTAAATAAAACACATTATACCTTTTTTACAGTTATAGTTTAAGCTACTTTCAATGCTTTCGAGAAAATTATAAGACTTTTGAATAGAATACCCTTCTCTTCTGTTGAATTGTTAGTCAAATGTTTAAATATCGATTGAGCCATGCCGATCGCTCTTTCTCTGTAAAGACTCTTAAGAATTGTGAGCGCAGTACGAATAACACATAGAGAGCAGTAATTATTAAGAAAAAAAAGATTTCCAATCCAATACACATATCCATATTATATGTAAGCTAGTTGTCTTTAAATTAAGCATCGAAAAACACAATTTAGAACAAAAATATCCAGTAATTTGAAAGTGTTATAAAAATGATTATGTTTTTTAGAATATGTTCAGCAACAGAGTACTGAATAGAATGAAGCATAGTTTCTACTTTAGTCTAAGAAGTTTCTACACTTTTCGTATAACTATTCAATAGGCAAAAAAAATCCACGTTTTTTTACTTTAATGACGTCATATAAAACCTTTTGTTAAACCCCTTTCGACTGACAGTTGATGGTGTTGTTGCATAGTTAATTAATTCATTATTCAACTTATATAATATTGACTAAAGCGAGAGAAAAAAACACTTTTTTCATGACGACACAATATTAAACACAAAGGTGTGTGACTGTATTTGTATCATAATCCAACAGAACATCAATAATCATAATAGAGAGCACGTATTTGACCGTATGAAAAAAATGTACCATATAAAAAAATGTACTGAATCTCGCTTTTTTCTTCTCTCTCTCTTTCTGTCTCTTTCTCTCCCTCTCTTGTTCTTTTCCTTTCAAATTTCAAAGTTTTGTATCATACATAACAGCTTTGAATATGATGATGGAAATGAATAGATAGATACTTTCTTCTATTTAAAAAAATCTTGAAAGGTCAATGTATCCGATCATAATCAGTTTTCACCATTTCTTTTTATAAAAAAAAACAAAATCTATAAGACAAACAAACCATCTTAGAAATATACAACCTATTGAATGATTAATGAAATTGATTTTTTATAACGATATCTACATGGTTCAAATTACGAGTTGAATCAAACTCATACTTTGAATAGGTAAAATTAAATCATCAATTCTAAGACACTAACAGCTGTTTTTCGGTCTCTAATTTCGTTCTGACGAGACAGATTGCGTAAAACTAATTAAAATAAGGCATGAAAATATAATTTATCAATCAATCAATAAGTATGTTGCAATGTGTTCACGATAAAATAGTGTCTTAAAGCGAGAAACATACAATTAGAACACAATCGTACTACACGCAAGTTACGAATACGATGCGCCAGTGACGAATAAACAGAAAGTTTCCTAAGATAGAATAATACATTCGGCTTCTCGCATTCAGAAAGCTGTATACTTGAGTGATAATGAAAATGCAGATAACTTATGGGAAATATGTAGCTTAGAGAATTAACAATATCTTTCAATGCATCAATTATCACTTCAATATAATACAGCAGTTATCTTCTAAAATTTATTAAACTCGCGAAACGTGCAGTACGACTTGTCCACATAATATTTTAAGTACTTTACGTTTTCTTTACATTGGTCGTGTCATACTGTTGGAACGAAAGTTCATACAATGTTTAAAGATGTCTCATTTTAAAGAGCAAACATTTATCTTCAACTTAGTAATTAAGCTTTCATATTGATTAAAACAAAAATGTGTTTGTTCTCAAAAATGAGACGTCTTCCAGGTGTATGAACTGTCTCCGAAAGTCTGTGATTTTGGCAGGAAGCAACGCACTTACAAAAAGCTGATTATCCAAACAGATCGAGTAGATGTTCAAAACACTTCACCAGGCTCTAGATCTCGAAAAAGTGAGCTAGAAAAACTATTGATAACGAGTGGACCCGTTCTGGAAAATATCAACAAAAAGATGTGAGTAAATCCGAGAATACAATAGATGACGTACCGTCTTCGTAATATCTGCTACTTTAAAATATTTCGTCTTTTACACACCTCGTTCATATGAAAAGAAGGAGAACATGCATTTTCTTCCAAGTCTGTATTACTAATCATATTATATGTACCTGAGAATTTATTTTATGGTGTCGTTTTAAATCAACTGAAACTCGAGCACATACATCATTCATTAAATATCATCATTAATTTCTCCAAATAGAATAGAAATGTATAGATTCAATTATAAAGTTCTTTCATGAACAAAAAGTATAGGCGTAAATAGAAAAAAAAATATACAACGTTAGGTCTACTTAATCTTTATAATTCACAGCAGTCATCTAGACACAACATAAAATTAATTGATGACATGATTACTGATTAACAATGCCATTTTACTAGAACTAGAAGTCAGCTGTACTTCACAAAGATTATAAAGCCAACTAAGTAAAAATAGATTAATACGAAAACTATTAGTGTCAAGGCACCAAAAATCAATTAAAGATATCATTGAGAAACGTTATAAACAATCAAATTGCAATCTTCTGTTAATAAATGAAGAATATACTTAGCATAAATCCAGTTAAATCCAGGCTAGTCAGCAACGTTGAGACATAGATCACATAGTAAAATGTAAAGTAGCACGTGGAAACTTAATTATACACGAGAAAATAGTAGAATTTTTGTAGATATGTTATTTATTTTGTAGAATTAATCACACGTTGGTTAAAGTATAGAAGAAAAACGTCAAGTCGTTTATCTACATCGCTTTGACATTCAAACACATCTGTTCCACATACGTTTGCGATCAGGTTGTATTGAAGACAAATGGTGGAGTCAAGAGAGAAAATAGTATGAAAAGAAGAATTCTTTATTTATGATGAAATATGCTCAGTCTCCTTTTGTCTCACTCAGTCTATTTAACTATTTTAAGCCATGATTTGTTCAAAGAATATATTTGATCAAATAATCACTCTAAAGACAGAATGTTTATTTTGTTGGGGTTTGAAATCGTAGGAAGTTTCATACAAAATTAAACCTTGTTTTCAATAATTAAAATAGATTATACCTGTTCTTATTAATTGCTTCTCTCTTTGTTGTCTGATGGCTTTCGAGCAACGATGTTTTCAGTTTTTCGACGTGATAAATCTAGAACAAATTAAATTTAAAGCACATGCAAGTCCAAGTTTTATTTTCTTCGTACAATTTTAGTAATAAACAATAATTTTACCTTGAACTGATGATTATAACACAACTGGCTTTTTCATACGTAATATTCAAATGTATACGATGATTTTTTTTGCAAATATTAAGCCAGTGCAATTTGTTATAACCTAAAATGTAGTAGCAGATTCTATTTCAGAAGCCATCTGGAAAAGGAATGGACTTCAAGAATAAAATTAAAAACTTATTCATATTTTTATTTCCATCTTTAACCTTTCTCTAATTATCTCAATAATTCAATAATTCTTGAAATTTTATAGAATTAGAGGATCTAATAAGGATTTCATAGTCATTCATTGAAGATCAAATGTGTCTAACAGACCGTGTTTCTATCGTGGATTTTACACAAAATAACATCGTCTTTTTCCGATAATAAACGAGAATTCTATAGATGCAATACTTAATCGAGTTTTCTACTCTATTCAGATTAAAAAAAGATACTGCTACTATATTGTCATCTAGTTCGTCGACTAATACCAAGCAAGATTTAAGTCCGTTAAAGCAACGTTTCATTATATATTTATATCTGACAACAAATTAAAAAGAATGAAGTAGAACAAAACTAGTCAAACCAAAATAACATCGACTAAGAGCTGCTATAAAACTGTTTACACACACACACAGTTACACTGATATAGATGTGATAGATATATACAAATGATAGTGTCACATAGAAAAAATGTACAATAATGGATATTTTTTTTATCACAATATATTCTGTTCTCGAGATTACTAGGAAAATAGAAGAAAAATAGTAATATTTTATACAAACAAAATAAGAAAAAAGCCTAAAAAAAAGTAAACATATGAACGTACAAAATAACAAACACATACGTTTAAAAATCATCGGAAATTAACTATTTACAATAGAAAATATACACCGGTTTAAAAGATAAAGTCGTTTCTAATCAAAGTGTCTCATGAAATACAACTGATTTTTCTAAAGTAGAGGTGGGTAATGGTTCTTGAACATTATCGACGTCTTTCCCAAAAAATGGTAGTGTTGTTGTTGTTAAACCTTGTTCATTAAAATGTCTTTTAGATAGATCGGCCATTTGTTGTAATTTATTTTTGTATGTTTTTTGATTTGAATCGTTTTCGGACTGTTGACTAGTATCTGATTCACGTTGTCGTCCTCTTCTTTTCTTTTTTGATGTTTTTAATCTTGGTGGAAAACAAGGTCGTGGTTGATACGCTTCAGCTGGATGTGTTAAATGTTGTGATACAGCGCTTTCACCATATTGTGAAGTGCTATCAGGGTCATCAATAATAACATCAGTCAGGTCACTCTCACTGCATACGTTCATTATTGTTGACGTAATATTTGTTGTGTGATATCCACCTTGTTTATTTGTAAAGGAGCCTGATTTTGATGATGGAACGGTGCTGATGACACTATTATACGATGATTGACGCATTTTTCTTCGTTGTTTATAGCGAGATGATGCGACGGAGGATGGTTTATCATTGCACACACAACTAAACAACAAAGAAAATTAACTTTATACAGTACGGTATTGCACATCTTGAAATATATCCTTTTCGTTATCATATTTTAGATAGAGTTGCTCGTTAGTTCTATCTTATAAGAATACTTACTCCACAACGTGATAACAATACTTTTTATCATCATCTTCATTTGAAAATAACCATTTAAAAAAGTGTAACGGTATAGACTTTGATTGATTGATGGTTGATGTACCAGGTAGAAAATATGGTATAAATCCTAATATTCTGAAAATGAAAAAAAATTTACGTAGTTTATTAAAAGTACGCAAATTTTTGCTGATTTGATAAAAATCAAAAACTTCCAAGTAACTTTATGCAAAATATTACTTGAAAACAGCAGATTAAGTGCAGAATGTAACTAAATGATTCTTCCAGGAGACACTTTCTATTAACCAGCAGATCGTTAACTTTTTTATTTCCCAATTTAAACGAATAATTTCTCAAGTATGTTTGAGGTAGTAGATAACAGTTGGTTACTTTTTTGTGACGGAATATGTTAAATCTATTGGTAATATGATAGGCAATGCTATATAAGACCAAATATTAAGTAGAGTAGATCGATTAACAACATTTCCTAAATTACGTAATTCATCGTTCAAGGCACTATTGAACACTAAATAAAAAGACATAATACTATAGTTGTATGCAAATCTTCGATGAAGTTACATCACATTTTCTATTACCTGCTACGAGTGGTGACGGTAGTTCATTTCTTGGATCTGGTTGTCGACAAAATTCACTAAATTCTCCTTGAGTATGGTGATCACTATCTCCTTCTAAACTATTGCTGTCCGTTGAATTATCGTCCTCATCCTCACTCTCAATAGCAAACATTTGATGTACGTCATCAATGCCAATATTAGCCAAAAGTTTCTCATCATTCGGTTCACTATAATCTCTGCCAAGCATGCTAGATATACTTGATTTATTCGTTAGACGTGCAGTTATCATCAAATCTAAGTAAAGATTAAACTAATGCAAATAGATGAAATATATACATTTCTAACTGACAGATCACTTACTATGTGTTTGCAAATATTTTAGTCCGTCAACGTAGCCACGCCAACAAATTTGTTTTAATACTGATAATTCAGGTGGAAATAGAGCACGAGTACAACGATATAAGTTTTCTTGTGTACAAGATATATCTGTGCCTATAAATAAACAACAAGTTGATAAGAATTTGCAACCCGATCAGATTTATTCAATAATTAGTTTACCTCTAAAATCAACACTATAAAATGACCCAGATTCATCACGTGGGCATATATCACTTTCGCCAGCAAATGGTGATACTAATATTGTATTTTCATCAATAATTGGATTATTGTTTGTTAAACCACCATCCCAATAATACTAGAAAGAAGAAAAATTAAAATCATGTTAATGTAACTCATTTTTAATATACTTACAAGGCCTCGAAATTTATTTGGTATAATACCAGACCAATATGGAACAAAACTACTACAGATTAAAGCCTAAAGTAAAATAAACTCAAGAAATAAAGAATTTCATTCAGATTAATTGTTAATCAATGGAATCGTACCTGAATAAGTTCTTCACGACTATTGTATTGGCTAATAATAACATTTTTATTATCTTTCCAACGTGTCAGTGAAATGTAAAGACGATTTGAACATAATTCATGAGCATTTGGCGGTAAAATTCTAAACAAGTTCTACTTTTGTAATCCACATCAAATTAGAACTTTACTGTATAATTACCTTCTTAGTCCATTTCTTATGATATCGACAATACTAAAGGTTGGATGTAAAGGGCCAAGTACACGACTTCTAGCTCGTAAAGCAATTTCTAATGCATCACTAGCCATTTGACCTAGAAAAAAATTAAGCGTAGAAAACGGTAGTGTTATGATTCTATCAAAAGTAGCACTAATATAATCACAAAGAAACTAATAACAACATTTCAATTCACTTTTTCCATCAGATAGTCCAAATATGGCATAAGAATGAATCCTTTTGTTTTTGAGAAAAAACGATCTGCTTAATGATATTGCAGAATTTAAAACTGATACATGCAAAGTCTCTATTTTGATAAGTAATGTAAAATTGTTGTTCACTACAAAGACTTATTATGTTAACAGAATTATCTATGTTCTTTTATCATTTACCTAGACAGCAGTCACAAATAGCACATGCTGCTACAAGTGAACCAGCTGAACAACCAGCCATTTTTCCTTCTAATATATTTGGTGCATATTCTTTGAAAGCACATATAACACCAATATGATAAACACCAAGAAATCCACATCCGGATAATGATAAATTCATTGTCGAAGTTTTCATTTGATAAACCATATGTAAATAGAGATTTTTTTAATAGTAAATTTTGCAATACTATATATAAATATAAAGAGAAATGTAACTCGAAATAATAATCATGTGATAGAGTAAATGCACGAGATTTACAACACATGATTGAAAGACTAACATATTCTATCATCAGAAGTAGAGAAAGAGAGAAGAAATGGATAAAATAACTTGATGACAACAACATTTCAGTTTTATTTTCACTATATATTTTTTTTACAAAGAAAAGGGAGGAGTGGTTATCTGACGCGTATTAGAAAAAGGAAAATACGTTATACACACCCTGCATCTTTATCTGGTATGAATGACCTGAATCTATGAATGAAAGAGAGAAAGAAAGCACATGGTCTTCTGAAAAAAATCTAAAACCGCAGAAAAATACATCAATGTACTTAGATAAAATGACGACCTTTTTTATTCATCTAAAAAGAAAAATAGCATTAAATAAATATTCTATATCAGTAAATAAAATTCATACTTTAACTTATGCACTGTTAGGGCACATTTGACATAGAGTACGATGTAATCTATTACGACGAAGAAACAATCGAAATAAATATAAACTTTCTCCGAAAATAAATATAAAGTCTCTCCCCTCTGTAAATAGAAAAGGTGAAGCTAAGGAATTTTTTATAAAAACTGGAGCAAATATAAGAATTCGTTCGAATATAAGCTATGGTGTCTTAATACCAAACACTGTTTCTAATAATAAATTATACTTAACTTTTGCGAACTGAATGTATAATTTGAAACTGAGATTTACACTTTGTTTTTTTGAAGAATTTCGGTTATCTGTGAGAAAGAAAGTACCAAGTGTTAATCCTTTCGCGTCCGCACTGGAGATGATTCATTTGCCTATGTTCTTTTTCAGAGAATATAACCGGAACAAAAAAAATAAAGTTGATTTTGAGCAGAGGCGTCTATCCTGTGAAACGTTTGAGGCGCAATGTCTCAAGCAAAAGTAAGGTGGTACGCTTTTTTGATGTAGAAATTCATTTTTCAGGTGGTATACCTTCGAGGTGGCACAAAATGCACTCAGATCTTCAGGTGGGGATAGACGCCGCTGGTTTTTAGTTGCTGAAAAGTTCGTTTTCGTATTCAACGTACTCGATAACCCAAAAGATTTTCTATTTTTGTCAAGGGAGACTTTCAAAAGTTTAGGAAAAATTCTGAAACAAAATGGCGCAAAATAATTTTCATGAGAAAATAATATTAGTTTGAAAATGTTTCCTAAAGTTTTGGAAGTACTCCTCGCCAAAAATAGAAAATCTTCTGGGTTATCGAGTGTGCTGAATACGAAAAAGCTCTTCTCAGCAACTCAAACCCACCTTTATTTTTTCCCCGGTGATATGAATCAATATACAGATACACTTTTATCTTTATGCAAGTTCATTCAAAAATCTAACTGATTCCACTTTGAGACCAAGAGCGAATAGCACATTTGGTCAAGATTATAAAGATATTTTATTATTATTACGTATATATTAAATTGTTCCCATCAATTTTGTGGATTGCGAACGCTGATTTGTCCACCCGTATTCAAACAGATGGTTGTTCACAAATAATACATGGTATATTAGATTTACTGAACGTATGATTATTATTAGACGATGATACAGAAAGGGAAAATAAACAATTCGATATTGCCGAACTATAGCAGGTCACATTATTTAGAATTTTTGATAAAAACTCGCAATATGAAATTGTATTAAATATATTATATTCTATTAAAATGATAGAAGACAGACTAAAGAACTTAATAATAGTGATTTACTTGTCTAATATCATTAATGATATTTTCTTTCTCTTTTATAAAATATCATCACTAAATAGTTCAAAGACTGTTAGACTTATGGATGATCTAATCCAATACGGAAAACAGCAAATTTAATGGCTGGTATTCTCGATGATTGTGAATCGACATGTTAAATTTATCCAAACGTTAAAGAGAGAAAAGTTTTGTCATTGATTTAAGTAAACCAAAACAGTGAGATACGCAAATGGTTGTAAACAATCAATTTTATCTAATGCTATTATCTGTATGGTTGAGTAGAAAATAATGTATATTGTACAATATGTATCGTATGCGATAGGTTATTCCAGCTGATTCAACTACGATGACCGTGTTGATATACATAAAAATAACAACAAACATTACTATATCGTTGTTGTTGTTGTAATCTAACGGGTGGCGTATAAAGAATGAGCCTCTCAGTATTTTGCGAATATCTCTCTCAGTTTTCGATGCTCTGACTTGTTTTTTTCTTCAAAAGATAGCCTGTGCAATTCCCTACAAAATCCAATGGAAAGGGCTCTTCAAAAGGATGGCTGGAAAACCATATCTGTTCAGCAATGCTATACTACAAAAGGCTCACTTTCAAAAGCACTTTTTTACAAAACTAATTATTTCTCTTTTTCTGACTAAACAGATTTCAGACCATTCTTAAGCAAGTTTTCTACGCATTTAGGTGTACTCTTTCTAACAGAACTCAAAAAAGATCTTCAGATAAGTTTGTGAGGTTGCAATGGCCAATGTTCTTGAAAAAACGAGTTGGAACCACTGATCATTCTCCTTAGTCGCGCCAGTTATTACAGAAAAGAACCTTTGCAACAGTTCGCTCGAGTAGAAATGAAAAATATTTCTTTCAATTCGGTAATAAATCTGAACACGTATTAAATGTATATTTGACTTAACTAAATCAAAATTTTGATGAACCTCAATGGAAGATCCTTAAAACGTGAATGAGGGAGCACAAACGAAATATTTTGTTCGGATAGATTTACAGCATGCCAAAAAAGTATTCGGTCAACTGATAGAGCTTTTCATGGACTACAAAGTGATGTATTCAGTTTTTTCTGTATGTGGTTAAAGAACGACGCAAACTTACAAAAATCAGAAACAGTAGCTTGAAAGTGGACCTTTTTGGAGTATAGCATTGCTGACCGGATATGGTTTTCCAGTTATTCTTTTGAAGAGCTCTTTCCATTGGATTTTGTAGAGATTTCTACGGGCTATCTTTTGAAAAAGAAATCAAGCCAGAGTATCGAAAACTGAGAAAGATATTCACAAAATACCGAGAGGCTCATTCTTTATGCGCCACCCGTTATGTCATGTCAGTATAAGTTATACTGACATAGATTACATGTTAAAAGTGTTCGTTAAAAACGAGTTCTTTCTACGGGACCGGGACCAAAAAAGTTTGATCCCGCATATCCCGATTATTTACATGTTTTAATGCAACTGAATTTTGTCAGTCTTCGAACATGGAAATTTTCCAGTGATGTCCTTGTTTGCTTATTATCTGCAGTCACGTGAGTCATATACAAAAATTAACATGTGATTTGCATTTCGATTCACCAAACATAGTGCCAAAACTAAGCTCCACATTACATTTAGACTAAATGAAAATTTTTGGAAGAATGAATCAGATATTTACCATACAACATTATTAAAGTGAGTTAAGTCTCTTAATTAGTTTCTTCGTTCGGGAAAGATGTCACCATTTGCTGCTGTCATTTCTGGGGAGTGGTGTCGGTAACAGAGATGAAAGGAGAAAGTACTCAGCGTGTTGGTTGCCGGCAGCAGTTTGTCTCGATGGTTTAGCAAACTTTCTAACTAAGAAATACCTCTCTAAATGAAACAGGTACTATGATGTTATGCTGAGATGCAGCGCTTGTTCACGTTTGCTCGGATAGTAACATCTCATGTTGTTAAATCGCGCATATCACCCAATCGAAAAATTTTCAAAGCTTATTCTGTCAAAACCGATTGCAGATTCGTCTTCTCCATAGTCGATTATCTAGTACGCGATAACTTTTGGATCGGGGTACTTCAGAAAAAAATTTGCTCATGTTCTTGTTCAAAAATTTTCGAAAAAGTCACTGCATCGGATCCGAGGCAAAACGACGTCGAAAAACTTTTCTGAAGTACCTCGATCCAAAAGTTATCGCGTACGAGATAATCAACCATGTAGAAGATGAATCTGCAATCAGTTTTGACCGAACAATCTTTTAAAATTTTTGGATTTGATAATATGTGAGTGAGTAATTACATAACTTGTATGCACTTGACTCACTTAACAAGTACTTATTCGAGTAAAACTATAAATGTTTTCACAAAGTGCTCTGCAGTAATAAAACTAAATATTGTAATCTTGAAGAAGTACTGTGAAAGTTTTTAGTCGTGGTTTTTACTACCGTTGCTTTGTAAGAGAAAACTTAAAGCAAGAGTAGAAGACTTTAAATCAAAGATGAAGAAGAAACGATGGAGCTTAAAAGACACAATCATTTCGGTATCTCGATTTCAAAGGAAGAGCGCGTTTCACAATGCGTTAATAAGTTCAAATGCATTCCACCATAAGAAAATAGGAAAATATATTTTATAACAGAGTTCAAAAACGCTCTTTCAGATAAAAAACACGATCGGATGGATGTAGCGGAATGAAATAACGTTTCGAACAGTGTTTTTTACATTTTGTTTCTGTACACAACTGGAAGAAACCAAATGTGAGATAATTTTTTTCTAATGTTGGCCGTAGGGACAATCTTCTTCTCAAAACATAGGGTAATGTTTATTAATTCTTTTATTTCTTCCTTTTTACTTCGTAGTTTATTTGTATTGCTTAACTAAACGTTTCAGTATTTCGTTAATCGAAACGTTTAGTTAAGCAATACAAATAAACTACGAAGTAAAAAGGAAGAAATAAAAGAATTAATAAATATTATCAACTTCGTACACAATAAACAGTATAAAAAACGCAAGTAGGGTAATGTGTGAAATCCTATTATGACTAAAGGACTAGATGAGGCAGAAACCAATTATCCATATATTCTGTGATTCTAAGCGGGCTCCATTTCCGTTAAAATTTGAGCGAACAATGGTGTAGTAGCGATGCATTCTAGTAGCGATATAACGCCTTAATTAATTAATGGAATTCGTTGCAATCTGAGTGTGTATGCATATGTATTGATAGTTC